TGAACTGAGTCCATCCCACCGGGAGGGAGAATCTTATCTTTGCAGACGCTCTCTAGGCCCTTCTGGGAACGTTTTCATTCATCCTCCCTTTCCCCGTTCGCTTCTTTGCTTCCTCCCTACCTTCCTTTTTTTTCTTTTTGCACACATGTATCGAGCGCCCACTCGGTACCAGGCACCGGGCCAGCCTCCGGTTAAGAGAAAACGACCCCGAACTGCTCCACTGGCCAGCGGCCTGGCCTTGGGCACAAGTTTACTGAACTCCTTTCACGTGGCAGGCACTGTGTTGTGCCCTGAGGAGGGGCTTGGGGGACCAGAGAAAATAAGCAAGGAAAAAACAAACAAAAGTGCCGTGAAGAAAATAAAACAACGTAGTGGGATAGAGGTGAGAGTAGAGCTATTTGAGAAATGCTGCCGTTTTCCGAAATAGCGTTCTATGATAAGAATAAGATTAAGAATACCTTCCTATCTGCTAGTGCTGTGACAATTATGTAAGAAAATACACATAAAGCTTTTAATATCTTACCTTGCCCGCAGTCATTTGCAGTCTTAGCTGTTTGTTGTTAACATCATCAATGCCTTTCTTTGCAGCTTGCTAAAAATGTATAAAAATTTTGCATTGCACTCAGTAATATGTCTCGGCTTAACATAAACAGATGTATAAGCCTCTTACTTAACTATTCATTACCCCATTCCACCTCCACCATCTTCCAGAAGATATGCCAAGTTTATGGAGTGGTTTTCCTATAACCGCAGAATCATAGTAAAACCTAAACTAACAAGCTTGGATGTCTGAAGTGTTGTCTTCTGCTCACATTCTCTGCTTCTGGAGTGGAGGCAAGTCTGAATGACTTAAGGATCTGTATGAAGCTCTCCTGGCCAAATCTGTCCAGCTTCTCAATGGATCTTTCCTTGAATACAAATCTTTAAAAAGTTAAGCAGTTAAAGAAAGGATATGTGTGAAAGTGCTATTGTAGCTGCTTGCATTGGACCTCTAAATTGCTGTATTAGTCTGCTCAGGTCACCATTACAAAATGCTACAGACTGGGTAACTTAAACAACAGAAATTTATTTGTCACAGTTCTGGATGCTGGGAAGTTCAAGATTAAGGTGCCGGCTAAAATAAGTTTCATTATGAGGCCTCTTCTCTGAGGCTGCCAATGGAAGCACCCGGGCTGAGAACCAGGGTTAGGGGGCATCGAGAGCCTCAGCCACGCCCTCCTGAAACCACATGCAGCCCAGCACCCTGACTGAGCTACCACCGGAATCCCCCTGGGTTCCTCTGCTGGAATGATGGGGGTGCCACGGGCTTCAACCATGTCCCCCCCTTCCTCCTCCCACCCTATCTTACTCCCCTTTCCCCTCTCCCCCTACTCCCAACTGCTGCACAACATCTTAGAATGTAAAAAAAATAATAACTTTTAGAAAAATAAATAAATTAAGTTCCTCAGTGTTAATTTGAGAAGTCTCAAATATCTGGTTGTTTACTCTATGACACTACTGGATTCCTATAATAAAGATAAATAATAGCTCATCCTTTTTTTCTGGTTCCAGTTGTGAGATTTTCAATTTCTTTTTTTTTTTT